TCACATATGATTGTGCACCTACCTGTCCGGGCTGTCATATTGTAAAGTTTGCAGATGATACAGTGGTGGTGGGATGCATCCCAAACAATGATGAGTCCAGCTACAGGCAAGAGGTGGAACACCTGGAGAGCTGGTGCAGAGAGAATAACCTTCACATCAATGTGAAGAAGACAAAGGAGATGGTCGTGGACTTCATAAGTCAAGTCAAGTCATATTTATTTATAGAGCACAATTTAAAACAGATAGACTGTTATCAAAGTGCTTAAGGAACAAATACACCTACACCCCCCTGAACATAAGAGGATCTGCGGTGGAAGTGGTCTCCAGCTACAAGTACTTGGGTGTGCACCTGAACAACAACCTCAGCTGGAGCAACAACACCACCAGCCTGATGAAGAAAGATCATCAGAGACTCTACTTCCTCAGGCGGCTGAGGCGAGCTGGTCTGGAAGCTCAGTCCTCACCTCCTTCTCCAGGTGTGCAGTGGAGAGCATCCTGTGCTCCAGCATCAATGTGTGGCATGGAGGCTGCACAGCTGCAGAAAGAAAAGCTTTGCAGAGAGTGGTGAAGGCTGCATAGAAGATGTTGGAGTCAGCCTCCCCACCATCACAGACATCTACACCTCCAGATGCAGGAAGAGGGCCACCTGCATCATGAAGGACCTCACTCACCCAGCACACACACTTTTTGCCCCACTCCCCTCAGGAAGGAGGTTGAGGAGCATTAAGTGTAGAACCACTAGACTGAGGAACAGCTTCTACCCTGAGGCTGTTAGACTCATGAATCTCTAACCAGAATAATCACTGTGAAAAATCACATAAAGTTGCTGCTGATCTGTTTTAATGTTTCTGCTGATCTGTTTCATGTTGCTGCTGATCTGTTTCATGTTGCTGCTGATCTGTTAGATGTTGCTACTGATCTGTTAGATGTTGCTACTGATCTGTTTAATGTTGCTACTGATCTGTTTCATGTTGCTACTGATCTCTTTCATGTTGCTGCTGATCTGTTTCATGTTGCTGCTGATCTGTTTGTTTCATGTTGCTGCTGATCTGTTTCAAGTTGCTACTGATGTTTCATGTTTCTGCTGATCTGTTTCAAGTTGCTACTGATCTGTTTCATGTTTCTGCTGATCTGTTTCAATGTTGCTGCTGATATGTTTCATGTTGCTGCTGATCTGTTTCATATTGCTGCTGATTTGTTTTCATGTTGCTGCTGATCTGTTTCATGCTGCTGCTGATTTGTTTGTTTCATGTTGCTGCTGATCTGTATCATGTTGCTACTGATCTGTTTGTTGCATGTTGCTGCTGATCTGTTTGTTTCATGTTGCTGCTGATCTGTTTCAATGTTGCTGCTGATCTGTTTCATGTTGTTGCTGATCCGTTTCAATGTTGAGCTGATCTGTTTCATGTTGCTGCTGATCTGTTTCAAGTTGCTGCTGATCTGTTTCATGTTGCTACTGATCTGTTTGTTTCATGTTGCTGCTGATCTGTTTGTTTCATGTTGCTGCTGATTTGTTTCAAGTTGCTGCTGATCTGTTTCATGTTGCTGCTGATCTGTTTTTCATGTTGCTGTGTTCATTTGTGCTCATCTGCTCACAGACTCATGTTCATGTTTGTGCTGATGTTCAATGTTTTATGTTACGAGTGCTTAGTGTATATTTAGTTGATGTTTTTCTTAGTTCATATCTTAGATGTTATTACTGTTTTTCTTAGACATTTTATTGTTGGATGTAACTGGGACCCTGTGTACATAATGTCATTCCACCCCATGTACCACATGGGGTGGAATGACAATAAAGAACCTAGAATCCTTGAACAGACGGCAGTCTGCAGCACTGACAGTAAACATCTTGCATCGTTTTGTTTTTCTAGAACTGCGCCGCTCGTGGTGTCTGCACGTTGGAGCAGCTCTTTCATTCTGGGATGTTGCTTTAGAAAACTTTATTTCCTCTTTCTGGATGTAAATGGATTTTTTAGGGATGATAATTTCCTCTGGTATTAGATGCTGTACAGCTGGAAGGACTTTTACTGAAACCTTTTTACTTTAGGACATTAGGTATGATAGTTGATGTTTTTCTTAGTTCATATCTTAGATGTTATTACTGTTTTTCTTATACATTTTATTGTTGGATGTAACTGGGACCCTGTGAACATAATTTCGCTCCACCACATGTACCACATGAGGTGCGAATGACAATAAAGAAACTCTGACTCTGACTCTGATGATGTGTAACCATGGCAACAAGGTGTTTTTACAACTGGGAGCAGCTGATTAACATCTCAAATATCAAATATTACCTCAACTACAGCCCCAAATCACAAACGAGTTGTAAAGGAAGCACCGTGGATGCATCTCCGTTTACCTGGTGGTGGTGCTCAAGTGCCTGACTGCTGAAAACCTGGAGCTGGTGGGAAACGTGGCTTGTGACAACAGAAAGACCAGGATCATCCTCCAACACCTGCATCTGGCTATCCACAACGATGAGGAGCTCAACAAGTTGGTGAGAGGAGCGGCCATCGCTCAGGGAGGAGTTGTGCCCAACATTCAGGTGGTCCTGCTGCCCAATTAAAACCCACCAAGTCCAAGTAAACGGATCAACACCTGTAGGCAGTTTCTTCAGATCCACTATGACGGACCACCACAAGAGATCAGAACTTCTGGTCTTCTGGACAAGAGAACGATACGGACAGACAGACAGAGACTACACCACAATGTGTCTGTCTTTTGACAAGCGTATACACAAAAGCTATAAATAGCAGAAGGCTAGCAAAAAGTAACACATGCAGCTAAAAGTAGCAAAGGCTAGCCAAAAGCTACATGTAGCAACGGAAGACAAACAGAGGCGTGCTCACACTAGGGGTTGAACGACTACATATTTTTTAAAGTCGACTTCAACACGATAAAAGTCGAGTCGACATTGACTAGTTGATGACATCATAGAAACTCAAGACGCTATTCACAAAAAAACATTACTATGTACAAAATATATAAATCTGGGGGCCGCCTCGCTGCCTGTTTTTAAATCCCGTCTTAAAACCCATTTTTTCCAAGGCTGTTGACACCATGTGAGATGTTGATTTTATTATTATTTATTTGAGTCTCCTTTTACTGTTTCAAATTTTATTGCATGGCTATTTATTGTTTGTCTATGTAATTATTTTTCTAGTATTTTATTCCTTTTGTGCTTTTTGTCTGTACAGCACTTTGGTCCCGTATGTTTTTTTAAGTGCTTTATAAATAAAGTTGGATTGGATATTTATGCTCCTAACATTTATCAAACTGCAAATAAGTCTCAGGAAAACCAAAACTATTATAAAGCTGCAAAAGTTAGTTTTATTTTATTTAATCCAGTAAATAAAATAAACTATGGCGGCGGTGGTGGATTCTCCAGCGAGGTTGAACTGGAAGAGTCATCTTTAGAGAAAAACTTCCACACTGTTGATGAACTTCTACCTGTTTGTGAGAAGACTTAGCCTGATCACCTTCCATCTGCTTGGAACAATCCGTTTGTAGCAGCGCCTGGCGCTGATCACATGACACATGATCACACGACACATGATCACACGACACATG